ATGCCATCAACGTCCCTGAACAAAGTCAGACTGCGGCTAGCTCTGACTTGATTATGCCAGGAAAATGTGTTCTTCTCCCAGTCAGAAGTAGAACATTGGATGGAAAATCAGCCCCTCAGTCAGAGTCTGAGGTTTTCTGGATAGAAAACAGGCCAGGCCAGGCTGAGCCTGAGCCATGAAGCTGGGGCCATGGCTCGGTCAAGTCCCTGGGACTCCAATGTCATCATGACATTACTCACCAATTTGTGCTTGGATAGGCAAGTGGAAAGGCTCTGATGCACTGAGGAACGAGAGGCCACACTTGGTCAAGCCTGACATATAGTGCAAGTTCTGGCCTCTTAGAAGAGCAACTGGACCTCTCTCCATCGTCCCCATGCTCAGCTCTCCCTTAACTGCTGGGGGAATGGCGTGGGGAAGCTGGATGGCAGCAAAGGGGCACAACCCAGATTTCAATAAATCCCCCCTCTTCCATACAAAGGAACACTACCCAGCCACCAAAGATAATAAGACAGACCTATGTAAGTCCGTAGAGAAATCTGCCTACGATCTCTTGTTGAATGAAAGCAGAAAGTGGGACGAATTAGCACGACCTTCTTTTGAAAATTAATATCCATTCATACAGATCTATAAACTTCTCTATATGGGGGCACCTGGGTGGCTCAGCAGTTGAGTATCTGCCTTCAGCCAGGGCGTGATCCTGGGGTCCCGGGATCGAGTCCCGCATTGGGCTCCCCACAGCGAGCCTGCTTTTCCCTCTGCCTGTGTCTCTGCCTCTCCCTCCGTGTATCTCATGAGTAAATAAATAAAACCTTAAAAAAAAAGAACCCTCTCTATATGGTAGTATACAACTGTTACCGGTTTCGGGGGGTAGAGAGGGAGTGGCTTCATTTTGTACACTGCTGTATCATTTGTTTTTGTAACAAACATGTATTACTTGCATCATTTTTAAGTAAGGTTTCCCTTTAGTTTCCTCTTCCAGGTTCCCTGAAAACAATCCCTGAACACATGCAGTAAACAGCTTGGGATAATTCACATTTGGCTCAAATGTTACTGAGCATCTACTGTGGAGACCAGCCAGAGTCGCTGACGGACGCCCAGGCCGCGGGTGAGCGCAGTCATCTGCCCTCTGGCCTCCTGCTCGCGGGCTCGTGACAACCCTTCTCTCACCAAATCCTTAGGCCTGAGTCAGTCAGCAAATACTCGAGCACCTACTAGGTGTCACGACACGGGCCAGACCCTGATTCCCAGCAGTGAAGAAACAGACATGGTACCTGCTCCAAGTCATCCTACGGATGAGAAGTTTGGAGAACTTTCCTAAGGCCACTCGGCTTGTGATGGAAGAGGGGCAGTTGTTTTGGACTCTGGTGATCCCAGAGTCCCGAGGGACTCCCGAGGGAACACAGCATTCCAGCCTCACCTGAAAGAATGAGTAAGACTTGGGCAGACAACAAGCGACTCCCCACCAAAGGACCTGGGGGGCAGGGGCGGACGGGAAATGCAGAGAGCAGATTGGGGCCACGGGGGTGGGGGGGTGGGGGGGTAGTTCCAGAGGGACCTGAGGGCGGGGTGGGAGGGGAAGTGGAGAGAAGCCAGCCTGGGGATGGGGCTGCGGGCGCTGTGCAGGGCACGAAAGCCTTCTGAGCAGCTTGATCCTGGGGCCCCGGGAACTAAGAATTTTGTTGCCGTTTCCCTCAAGGGGCTGGTGAGGTGGTCAGCGGAGCTTCAGAAAGCTGGAAGGGAACAGCGTTGCCCAGTCTCTCTCCGGAGCCAGCCCGCGTGGCTCTGGTCCCAGCCCGACCACTCACAAGCTCTAGAATTTGGGGCAAGAGACTTCACTTCCCTGCCTCTTGGGTTCTCCCAGCGTGACATGGGGACGTGTCAAGAGTTCCGGCCTCAGAGCAACTGCAAGAACTCAATGTCCTGATACAGAGGTTCGCAGGAGGGCGGGCTCGGGGCGAGGAGAAGTGCGCGCCTCTGCTCGGCTCTCCGGTGTCCACGTCCAGGATGGAGCGGCTGAGGGGCGGCAGGAGGGGCTTACCGCCGTCTGAGAGATGAGGTCTCGAGGAAGCCTGTGAGGATGGAGGGTCAAAGTGCGGAAACAAGACGGGGGCCAGTGAACAGGGCAGGAATGACTGGCCAACAGGGGGAAGGGGGAGGAGCCCAGGATAACTAGGGCTCCGGGGCTGCGGGCAGGCCGCGAAAGCCCCGGCTGGGCCGCCACCGCGATTCGGGCGCTGGGGAGTCCACGCACACAGAGATCACTCAGCACGATCACTCAGCACAATCGAGGATTTCATTTGACGGGAACACCGAAGCCCTTCTGTTTGTTTACGCTCAACATCTCTGACCATGAACTCTGAGGTCTCGGGACATGGCTAAGGAGAAACAAGGCCCGAGAGCAGGCCGTGTGGTGTCGTCTAAGGCAGGGTCCCCTCTCCCCCGCGCTGCCCACCAGGCTCACCCTGTGTGAGCAGTCGTGTCACTCTAGTGTGAGTCTGTGTCTCACAAACAGACCAGAGGCTTGGATCCAGCCTCTCATCCGGTGTAGGCTTCTGCGGGAAATGCCAGGTTTCCAAAAAGAGCCTCAAAAATGTTTTTTTTTTTTTTCAATGAGCCATTTGCCTACCAATTCTCTCTAGAACTATTATAAACAAACAAACAAAAATAAACCAATTAAAAATAAAAAACTCCTGAAAGCCGAAGGCTGCAGTATGGTACATGGAGAGAACGGGGGTGGAACAGGCCTGTTTCCTCATCTGAAACTTAGGTGACAGCACGGTCACACCCAGCCTGGTGCTGTGGCAGCCACGACGTTCAAGAGCCAGCTCGGTGGCTGTTAGGTCCGCTCTCACTCCACAGTCAGAGGGCTGAGGCCAAGCAGGATGGGAAGCTGTGTTCTTGGGGGTGCACATTCTTTTACTCCAAGTTACCTGACCCCCCAGTCTGTGAGCCTGCTGCTCTGTCTGCACATGGAGACCTGGACAGAAATCCACACCGGATGGGGAGGGCCTCATCTGGGCGCCATAAGGGAAGAGTCTGGAAGGCGAAATGTCATCTGGTCAACAGAGCTCAGGCCACCTGGTCATGGTACCGATGTCCCCTCCTTGCTGGATAAAAGGATGACAGAAACAATCAAACAGCAACATAGTTTGATGACAGACAGCTCCTTTTATTCCATCATCACATTTTTTTTTTTTTTTTAAGAAGGGGATTTCACGGCTCCTGATTCATCTCTCATTTGGACCTAACTCCTGATTATGAAGAGCCTAGAAATCCAAAAGGCACTGTTACCTGTGTCATGTGCGGGGCTCCAGCCCAGGATCTCAGGACAGAGATGGCATCCTTCAGGGTACAATTCAGGGAGCAGCCACACAAGACTGGGGGTGAAGGGGCTTCTCCCCTGTGGTGCATAAGGGGCTGAGAGAGGTCAGAGGTCAGGAGGTACCTCACCCTCACACGAGCTGCAAGCACCAGGTCAGGGTGAGTGGATGGCTCAGAAGGGGCCCCATCTGAGCTGTCCTCAGGCCGTCTTCCCAGAGTGGTCCTGACAGGTGGAGGCTGGGGAGCTGCATAGTTCGTCCTATAGGCTGCACGGTTTACACCCCCACAGTGCAGAGATCTGGGGTTCCTGTAGAGAACCCCTCTGAGTGGAAGCCAGGGCAGGGTAGACCCAAGCAGGTGGGAGCTTGAGCTCTCCCACCTCCCAGCACCTACCTCCTTTTACTGCAGGCTCTGGGTCAGGTGGACCTGCGTCAAATCCCGCTCTGCCATCTTCTGCACGTTACTTAAAGTTGTTTCTGTCTCAGTTTCTTTATTTTTTAAGACTTACTTATTCGAGAGAGACACAGAAAGGCAGAGACACAGGCAGAGGGAGAAATAGGCTCCTTGCAGGGAGCCTGATGCGGGACTTGATCCCAGGACCCCGGGATCACACCCTGAGCCAAAGGCAGATGCTCAACCACTGAGCCACCCAGGGGCCCGTTTCCTTGTCTTTAAAGTGGGGATGATAAAGTTGTGAGGACCGAGGAGGTGATGTGTGTAAGGCACCCCAGCCATTACTGGGGGACTAGAGGCTCATCCCCTGCCGTCTCTGGGCTCACTTCGAGGCAGCTCCTCCCATGCTAGGGCAGGGGGTGCATGAGAAGAGAGGCACCCCTGAGAGAGGCATGAGCAGAGGATGAGCAAAGGGCATCGTCTCCTCCCCTCACAGGGTCCTCGGGGCCTCTCATATTTATATCCTGTTCTCCTGTTGTAGCTGCCCGGGCTCCTGCCAAGGGTTCACCAGTTGACCACATGACTCCTTTCTCCCACAACTCCTCCCTCTTCCTGTGACCCCAAAACACGAACCGGGCAGATCCACCTCCCATGTCCATCATGCGGCGCAGAGACACACCTGACTCCAGCCCAGGCTGAGCCGTGTGAGTCCATTCCCGGAATCACAGTGGTCCCTGGCAGGCTCTGAAGCAGGAACCCCAGAAGAGGACACTCTGTGTGATTAAAGGAACACCATCTCCCCAGCCCAGCCTCCCTGCATTTCCCCTTTCCTTATTTGTCTAGAGGAGCTGGGAGTGGGTGGATGACCAGCTCCAGGGCTCTGGATGACTCACTTCCTTCCGAGAATCAAGAACGGGTGTTGGTGGAAGCACCACGAGGCCCACCGGGGGTGGGGGGTCAGGGGTACTAGATGCTTCTGGAAGCAAAACAGCAAGCGAGACTGCCTCCAGGCAGCGAGATGACATTTTTTTTTTTTTAAGAATTTATTTATTTATTCATGAGAGACACTCAGAGAGAGAGAGAGAGGCAGAGACACAGGCAGAGGGAGAAGCAGGCTCCATGCAAGGAGCCCAACATGGGACTCGATCCCGGGACTCCAGGATCAGGCCCTGGGCTGAAGGTGGCACTAAACCACTGAGCCACGCTGGCTGCCCAAGATGACATTAAACTTATCACATATACACGTTTTTTGGGGAAAGAAAAGAACAAGCATGAGAGAAAGAAGGGCTATTTTATCCCTTTATTATATACAATATTAAGGCACAAGTTTAAGCAGCAAATAGGAAAATCTTTGGCTGACCAACAGTATTAACATCTGCCGTGGGGGACCCGCTGCATTCCTGGACACCCCCTGCCCCTATACACATACGCACCTGGGCTGTGCAGCTCTGCAGCCCGCCCCCCTTCAATACACACCAGCAGACGAAGATGCCAGAATGTCACACCAGAGGCTGCTGGAGGGAACACCGCACGCTGCCACCATGCACAGCAATGACTCACATGGCCAGTGGAGTGAGTGGTGGCCCGAGGGCCATCCAAGTTTTGGCTGAGGTTGGTGCCCGCGCCTGCCCTGGGTTCATAGAATTTCACACAGACTCTGTCAGTGCCCTGTGGAGGAGGCGGCTCCAGGGTCCCTCCAGGGAAAACACCTTAATGCAAAGAAAACCACAGCAGATACACTTGCTTACATTCTGTTTTGTAATAAATACTCGCAGGTGTCTACAGGGGACCGGAATCCTAGGTAAAATCACATGTAAACACACAACTGGGCATTGACATTTAGGGAGCTGATACGAGAAAATGCTGTGTATGTACCCCATTACTTTGAGAAGAGTATTTTAATTCTGTGAAGAAGCAAGCTTTTATGACAAAGAAACACCTTGGTCATCGCGTTACATGGCAATTACATGCACTTAAGTATTACAGGGCTTTACAGAGCACCCACTGGAGGTCTATACTAAGGATTACACATTCCGTCTGTGCATACGCACAGAGGTGAACACATACAAGGCATGGCAAGAGAGGAGATTTTTAAAAGCGAACCCACCTGAAGTTACATGTAGTGATGACCACAGTCCTTGGAAGTGGTCACTTCAAGAGGCTCTAGGAGTCCAAAGACTCACTCCAAGGAACATTTTTGGGATTTTCTTTTTTTAAAGCTAAAGTGGTGTGACTTTCATCACCCATCTTTATTTGTTCAACTGGGATGATTTCCAAACTTAAATCCACCCTCAAAGGATGAAGATTTCTCATCTGTAAGGATAATCAAACGAATGTCCCAGGTGCCAAAGGCCATTCTAACAGAGGTGTTCGCAAACTGTTTCTCCTGGGGCAGTGGGGCAGCAATCAGCATAGAGTCTCCCAAAGGGTCAGCGCTTGAGGAAGAGGTGAGATCAAATGCTTGGATCTTCCGCATATTAAGAAAGAAAACCTGACACGCAACCTTGGAGTCATACCCATACGTATGCACAGACATGCACACGTCTTTATATATCATTATTAAACAAGAAAAGGATATACTACTTAAAAGGAAGAGAGAAAAATCTGCTCATTAGTTCCAGAAGAAATGCTTTACTGAAATGCTGACCTTAAATGCTCCCAAGTTGGTCAGCTTCTGGAAGCTTCTTTTTTTTTCTTTTTTTCTGGAAGCTTCTTAATTACTCTGCCCATCTCCCACCAAGCCACACACATCAGAGGCAAGCTGATTAAACAGTCCTCACATTGAGGGAAGACATTTTAAACACATCAATTAATTAGCAAAAAAGAAGAAAAGCAAAACCACATTTCTAAAGTCTCTACCCCGGCTGCCCCAGGCTCAGGGGTGGGAAGGAGACAACTGTAGGCTGGGTTCTCTGTGGCTACGTGACGGCTTTACTGTTCGAGAGTATCCATGGGCTCCCACTCCCCACAGCCACGGGACTGCTCTGCTCAGGGGTGCAAGTTCATTCTCAGCACACAGAAGCATACCCTTTGACTCAAGCACAGGCTGGAACACGACTTTGGTTCTGGAAAATCAGCTCCGAGCATCATGCATGAGCTCCCTGCTTCGAGACCTTTTAAAGCCCCGATCTATTCTTCACTGCGTCCCGGGCATTCAGCCTCACCTGACATCTGTGCTCGCAGCGGTCTCTGCCAGTCAGAAGGCTGCCCGGGAGCAGGTCTGTCTTCCCATCAGGAGGACACAGGGGCCGGAGAGTGACCCGGGGGAGAGAGGGAGTGATGGCCAGCTCCTTTGCAGTGGCCAATCCCACAGCCTGTCCCCTGAGCAACACATCACTGCAGTCTCCGTTCCGAGACCAGGATTCCCACAGAGCAACTCTCTCGCGACTGGACCCCAGGCTGGTGCAGCCACATCCAAGAGCCAGCCCTGCAGAACAGGACAGAACAGGGCCCCACCACTCTCTATCCACAGGCCTGCCTGGAATGGGCTGGATTCCACACCCTCACTGGCTGCCGAGCTCCAGCAGGTGGAAGATAAGCCAAGAGAAGAAACTGCTAAGAAAAGGTTCTGCAACGAGTGGCTAGAATCCAGTAGCATCTATTCCATAAGATACCCCGGTCAGCACACAGAAACCACCAGAAGGCCCATCCCGGGAGAAGCCCGATTACCCTGGCAGGTGTTCACATAAAGCCAAAGCCTTTACCCTTCACTCCGAGACGGGGCTCGTGAGGTCCATAATCAGACCCCACGGGCAAGTCCTGAAGTCCAGGCCTCTGGATAACACACAAGTGTTTTTGAGATGGATTTTGTGGCCCTGCGATGATGGAACACTAAGACTTCCGTCTGTTCCTCGTGTTTATGGGCAATTCTAAGAGTCTGGGGCTGTGGTCCTCTTCCTCAGTTCCCGAGAGGTGTGGCAGCTATGTGTGTGTACCTTTGTGTTTGTGTGTGTGCTGTGCCTGTTCACACACCATAGACGAGGCCAACGTGGGCCAAGACATGGCCTCAAACATGGTTCTGACCCATGTTGGTGGTGCTGCAGCCTGTGACAGGCCCTCGTCCAGATGCCACTGCTGTGAGGCTTTGGGGAGGGACCGAAGCTCCTTGAGCCCATTTCTTCCACTGTGAAAGAAGGCTGAACTAGGCCTTGCTCTGCAGATGGCTCAAGGACTCATTAAAAGATGCTCACCACCTTGCTTGCCTACAGCCAGCACGAAAAAAGAGCTGGGATTTATTTTTCTGAAAATCAAATGAGATAAATGATTGTAAATTGCCTAGAACTGCAGAGCAGATGCTCGGTATTTGCAATCCCTTGCTCCTACGTGTCAGCCAGCAAGGCTTCGAGAAAGCTACGAACATGAAAAGCATCAGGGGGCCCTGGCGTGGCAGGAAATCTCCCAGAAAAGAACACACCTAAAAGCTAGAGGTCCCTTTTCTTATGGGAGAGTCTAAGCAAGTTAGAAGAAAGAAGACTGCCAAAGTGCACAGCACAACCGAAAACTGGTGACGTCTGTGTTTGCACTCTGACAATACACTTGGCGATGGGGGCAACCAAGGGCCGTACACGAGCCTGGAACCTGGTGCCAAAGGTGTGCTGGAGCAGAAAGACAAGGCTCGGGGGACAGGGGGCTGTGGCTCTCACCATTACCCATTCCTAGGGGAGACAGCTCAGTTTGCCGTGGCCCGGGTGTGGGTTGCAGGGACAGGCAGAGGAGACTTGCCCTCCTATGTCCAGACCTTGCTTTCATTTCTGGTCCATTTCCAACATTAATTAAGAGGTCAAAATACCTTTTTTTTGTTTGTTTGTTTGTTTAAACAACACATATTTATTGTGTCCTAATCCTTGGGACTGGAAGTCTCAGATCCAGCTGTGGGTGGGGCTGGCTCCTTCTGAGGTCTCTCTCCGTGGCATGTAAACACTATCTCCTTACTGTGTCTTTGCATGGTCATCCACCAGTGTGTGTCTGTACCCTAATCCACTCTTCTGATAAGGACTCCCATCATATGGGATCAAGGCACATTCTAGAGACCTCCTTATGACTCAGAAACCTCTGTAAAAACCCCATTTCCAAATACAGCCCCATTCTGAGGTCCTGAGGGTTGGGGCTTTGAAGTCAAAATACCCTTAAGAGAAAGAGCTGCCGTCATCTACACCTCACCAAAGTGATGGGAACAGGGACTGGGATGGGGCCTCCTGTGCCCTATCCCCATCCTCTGCATCCACATGCACACAGCCCCAGGCATTAGGCAGGCTGCTGATGCCTGCAGAACTGCTCCAGCTTCCCGGCCTGACAGGACTAGAGGAGGCTAAAGGCACAAAGCACAAAGCTCAGTGCCCACCGCAGAGGAGCTCGGGAAGAGACGGCTCCTGCTATGTCCCACTCACTGTGCCCCCTCTGGCCAAGGCCACGGATTTCCTCCCTCCCCCTCTCTAGTCTACACCTCAGTCCTTCTCCCACCACGACAATCTGGGGAGGCTACAACTCCACCTGCCTCATACATCACAGGCCAACTCCAAGGTAAGTCACCCAAGCAAAATTCCCTGCAGAGCGTTGTGCTCAATGCTCCTAAATGTCACAGGAGAAAGTCTCTGACCCAGGCCCCTTTTCTTTGTTACCTTAACGAAGCCCAGGGAAGGGGACCTGGGATAAGAGGATCCAGTTGACCTGGAGGGAGGAAAACCGCAGGAGCCTACAAGAACATGTGGCAGCCCGATTAGCTTCTCTTTCCTGATCTAGCCCCTCTTAGATCTGTAAAGCAAGCCCACGTCTGAGGAGTTAGACATGCCGTCACGCACAGGGGTAAGAGGCCCACTACCCCGACTCATTCCTGGATCTTCAACGTGGTCCTTCTGTCTGACTCCGGTCAACTTGGCCCAAACCGAAACCTCGAAAAACGTGACTTCACTGTACAAATCCTGGCCTGCTAAGTCACAAAGCAAGTTCACGACGGAAAAACACTGATGTGTTAACACAGAGACCTACGTGCTCGTCCACAGTGCGAGGGGCTGGGGAGAGTGGTGATGATGGTCATGAGCCACAGATTCGAGAACGTCGTACAAGCTGTCTGGTGACTCTCTGGAGGCCACCAAGTCAAGTGTCATTCATTGCCTGGAGGGCAATCCTGAAAGTCTCAGCCCAACAGAGCACCGAGGTGGAGCTGCCAAGCTCTGCGTGAGAGAGCAGATATGAGAGAGAAGAGCCAGAGCCCCGATCTGAATGCAGGATGTCGCAGTGACCACGGAATCTTCCGCCTCATCCAAACTTACCTAGTCCCCAGCCAGGAGATTAGCAGCTGCAGCCCAGTGACTCCAAGGGGGAGGAAGCAGCCAGGCAGCCAGCACACAGCTCTGTCCCACTGGTCACTATTAAACAGAGATCAGACTCTGCTCTCATAAATCCAAGACCTAAGGAATTCCACCGTGTTGCATGAACAAGGAGAAGTGATAGAAAAGAAGAGTGAAATTAAAGAGAATGAAGCGTAGGAAGTGATGAAACTCAGAGCAGTTAGGGAGTTTGAGCACCAAGATCATAATGCTCCCATCCTCTTCCATATTTACTGCCACAGCCAAAGAAGTTAAGAAGCCTCACCATTTCCTGAAAATCCAAACCAAGCAGGGAATTGGGTGCGAACCGCCTTCTAAATTCCCATCACCTACAGACACGTGTTCTCACTGCCACCCCCACCCCCCGCCATGTTCACAGGAAACTCCAATGGCACGGGTGACATTTATGTTGGTGCCAAGATGGGCTCTTGGAGATTTCTGGAAGATTCTTCTAAAAAACGACGACAACAACATGCTAAGAGGCAAGGAGAATGGGGGTATTTCAAGGAAGATCCATGTTCAGGTTTATGTGTTTATAACTAGAAAGCCGCTGTACATAGACCCTCCCTCCCCAAGAGATATATTTTCTATACAGTAAAAATCCCACTTCCGGTGACTTCTTGGTTTCCAAACCTACATGCGGCTTCTCTCTTCTCAACATACGGAATAGGAATCCACAGCATTCCCCTCATCTTCAGTCATGTAGGTTTTAAATGCTTACAAAAGTGTTCTCACTAATCTAAGGTCTTTGTCAGTTCAAAGCACTCCTGATTTCTCATCCACAACTTTCTTGATCTCTCTTCTCCATCTCGGCCATGTTCCAGGTTGGTCAAGTCCCCTTACAGAATGCAGCAGGGACACCAGCACTAGATGAGAACTTCCATCATCTCTCCGTCAGGGAACTCAGGTTTGTGGAGCACACTGCTCACGCGGCTTTTGTGCTCAGGGGACTTCCCGTGGCCCAGAGGGTTCTCTGCCAAACAGAACGGGATGTCAGCAGCCTGGCCCCACAGTGGGGTGTGGGCCTGGCCGGCTCTGTCTAAAGCAGAATCATTCCCAACACTGGCGCTCAGCACCAGCGTCTGCAGGGAAGGCCCACAGCGTGGACAACGGAAGTGATGGGCCGTGGGATTCAGACACAAATGACAGAACTAGGGCGGGGATGGCAAGGGTGACCCTGGAGATGTGTGCGGGAGGCCCTCGAGGCCACTCCCCCTCTGGGCACAATTGCAGCACCTACAAGCCAGATGCTTTTCAGCTCTTCCCTGTCTTGGGCAAGTGCATCTCAAGAATTCAATGCTCAATAAATGACAATGCTCTGTTGCCTTGTGTATTTTGGAGGATGAAAGTAAAGCAGCCCTTGGAGGACATGGTTAATTCATGCCCCCGAGGGCTCCACTTCCCCAAAAGAACTCAAGAGGGCTCTCCCTATGACTCAGATTGCTCCAAAGGCACGTCTGGTCTTTCCCTGGATGCTTCTGGACTCATGGCAAGTCCACCTCAGCCCGGGCGGTCTTCTCCTCCTAAATATTTAAAGCACCTCATTGGTCTGGCCTGAGATGTGTGCCAGAAGTCTACCTGCCCTCAGTCAAGAGGGTACCTGCAACCTTGAATCCCAGAAGGGTAAGCCCCTCGAAGGCAACACCTATGTACTCGGTGCCTCTAATGTGGTGCCTGGTACAAGCTCCCAAACACCTTGCGGGGGGAGACTATTCTCTAATGTCCCCAAGGGGGTCTATTCCCACACTCTGGGAAAAGGCTGATTACAAAACACACATTAAAGGGGTATTCAAGCTGCATATTCATATACATGGTAGCAAGTTAGAAGGGTCTACACACATTTCATTTTCATAAGAAGTGCATTAGGGTAAGCATAAACCTAAAAAAGAAAACAAACAAACCCAAAACCCCATAAAGTGCGAGCTGTGTGGTGCTCCTGTTCCCACCCCCACTGCCACCCCCCCACCAGGTCCCCACTGAAGGTGCCCTCTTGGGCCAGTGTTGTATGGTTTTTCCAAGGGTAAAGGGAAGGAAAAGCCTCATACCCGATTTCTCCGCAGTCCCTTTGGCCAGCGGGTGTTTTAGGATGGGGCTGTTGGAGGGGGTCACGCTCAGCCTGCCGCGGCTGGGCAGCGAGGCTGTGCTGGGCCACCAGAGTTCAGCACTCCTGTCCGTCTGGGTGCTGCTGTCCTTGCTGCCTGTTTTGGCGTGGGCGCTGCCGGCCGAGTTGGTGAGGGCGCTGGGGGACAGCACTGCAGCCGGGGGCATGGAAGCGTGTTCGTGGTGCTCCTTCCCCAGCAGCAACCCTGAGGGCACAGGGACAGCTTTTACAATGCTGCTCTTTAAACAAAAACCAACCAACCCCCCCACACCCCACTGCCCCAGTCTTGGAGACCATTTCCTTCTTGACTGAGCACTGCTTCCTTCATTCACTGGTTCATTGACCACGTGCATTTATAAGCACTTACCATGTGCCTGGGAAGACAGCAAGCACTGAGGGGATTAAAAAAAAAAAAAAAAAAAAGACCTAGTCCATTTTCTAAAACTATGTGGGTTTTGATTTTTTTTTTTTTTGAGGACAGTTAACAGAAGTTAACTGGTTATGATGAATTGTGAAGAACAGTGGGATAAAATTATGCCCAGGGTAGTAAGAGATGCCTAACAGCCAGCACAGAGGGGAGGAGGTGTTCCTGCAAGGGTTTCTAGAGACCATGCTGTAATATGGCCCGGGGGGTGGGGTGGGAGGGTGGGGGGTGGTGAGCCTTAAGCAGCAGGGGTGCACTTAAGAAACCTGAAGGCTTCCTAGATCTGAGACATGGTCCCAGCAGCCCACAGGACTGCCCCCCTCTTGGTAATGGATGGTCTTCCGTAGGCCCACGTTCAAAAACAAACGTGCTCCCAGGCCTGGGCCACACTGGGTTGTTATTCCAAAGGAGAGCCCTTGCAGCAGAGAGTTGTGGCCCGCAGGAAGCAGGGAGCCAGCTGGGCTTCCGAGCAGTAGAGCTCGGGGTGGAAAGGGGACGTGCTGGCCAGAACAACTTTTGTATTTCTAAGCGGTGAAATAGGGTGCACGTGCAGCAAAGCCCCAGCACTCCAGAATACTAGCCCAGAGAAAGGGTGGTAAGCACGATCAGGTCTCTGTTCACTTGATGAGCCAGCAATTCATACAGTATCCTTGTCAGGGCTTTTCAAGGTGCCCAACAGTGCTGCTCGAAATGGAACATGCAGATCAAGTACTTGGATGTATCATCAAAACAAAGGTTTGACTCGGTGGGGACTAGGGTTCTGCTGCTTGAAGGGGCCCCCACGGACCTCACTGTGAGGAACAAGGGTCTTCAGCTCGCTGCCTCTTGCACATCAGCCCTCCTTCTATCTTACAACACTCCTGTGACACAGGTCCTGTTGTTACCTTCCGTTTTATAGAAAAGGACATGGGAACTCAGAGATATAAACAGCTCGCAGCTAAGCAGCAGCAGAAATGGGATTCGAATGCAGCTATCCTTGACTCCAAGTCCAACCCATGTCCCTTCCACCTCATTGCTCTGCCTGTCTAACCTCCACAGTCCTATAAGGATGCCCTGGTGCAAGCAAGTCACTAGCCAGTCATCCCACTGAGGAGCCCTGAGCCATCCGCAATGCACCCACTGTCACCTCTACCTCTTTCTAGAGCCCATGAAGTAAGAGATAATGGGAACATTTGAGGATTTCTGAGTGTGTTGTGGCTGCACAGACAGAATTTTGAGGTCCTCAGGCTCCCAGGCCTGGCTCAGACGTGCCCAACGCTAGTGGTTACAGGCACAGACTGGAGGGGAATGCCTGCCCGGCTGGATGTCACAAACCACCTCTGCCAGGGAGGGCTCCAGCACGTTTCAGACTCCTTTACCAGACCTGCCCTCGGCTCTCTGAGCGGGGGATGGAGCTACGTGTCCTCGGGAGGGTCTCTGCTGATCCCAGCTGCTGTCCACAGACATCCTCTTTCAAATACATTTCCTCGGGGGGCAGGCGCTGCTGAAGTGACCTGTGGAGGGACTTCAGAGACTCCGGCTAGGCGCCTTTGGTCCCCCGACTCTCAGGTCTGCTCGGGAAGCTCTTATCCCCTTTGGCACAGAGCAGCCAGGCTCCCCTGGGGTCCTGTACTGAGGAAGACTGGCTCTCGGCTCCACAGATAAACAGAACACACTCTGAGCCGAGGAAAGGCCTCAGTGTGGGGCCAAACCCTTGGAGCCCACAGAGTGCAGGGGAACCGCGAGGACGACGGGCCTCTGGGGTGCTGCCTGCTTCCCTGACTCAGCCAGCCCTGTCAACGGGCCGCCCTCGCCCTGGGAGGCCTACCAAGGCTGCGATCACATCTGTGGAATCTGCTCGAAGGTCTGCCTGTGTAACTACAACACAGCAAAAACCACCACCCACCACCTTCAGGCTCGAGAGCGCTTCTTCCAAAGAACCCTCTCCCCACTGTCACTCTGCCCTCCCCTCAGGCACACGGCATAAAGCAGGGCAGACACAGCCTGGCTTTTCCAGACACAGAGGCAGGACTGGAGCCAAGCTCAGAAGCCTCGAGGCTCTGGGCTGTTCCCATTAGAACACCATGTGTTGTAAGGGTCACTGCAACTTTGTGCAATACTGATACCAATTATGATGCGCATCAACCCGCGGCTGATGGCTGCTCTCGTCCTGTGGCTTTGCTTACACGTATCTCATTGAATTTCCACAACTCAAGTATCACTGACGATCCTCCCCATTTTACAGACGAATACACAGATGTGGAGATAGTCAGGGACATTTCAGCATTCCACGGGCAGTGGAGCCAGCGTGCCAGAAGAAGGTCAGAACCCATTCCACCAGATGAGGTCACCTCTCTGAGTTTGTGTCATTCTTGCTTTTTCAGGTCCTGAACCAAAGGAGGCATGGGGCTCACCTATGCTCCCCTTCCAGGTCTTCTCCTCTTTCTTCTCTTCGGCTAACTGGCTGCTGGTCAGCGAGGTCTGGCGGGAGTGCGTCCCGGTGGCCGCGGCAATGGACGGGACGGAGCGGGCAGGACGCAGGCTCGAGGAGTCTGACTTCCCAGCGTCTTTCCGGGATCGCTGCTGCAGGACTTTAATCATGGCATCCTTCTCTATGATTTTGGCATGGAGATTCTTAATACTATGTAACAGAACAAAACCAAATGGTCATAATCAAAAACGATTTGGCTAGAAAAACTCAAAACAATGCTCTCGGGGTGTCCCAGGGACTTGAATTGTAACTAAGGGATGAAGAGTTAAGTGTAGGGGTGCCTGGGTGGCTCAGTGGTTGAGCGTCTGCTTTGGCTCAGGGTGTGATCCCAGGGCCCCAAGATCAAGTCGCACATTAGGCAAGAAGCCTGCTTCTCCCTCTGCCTATGTCTCTGCCTCTCTCTGTGTGTCTCTTGTGAATAAATAAATAAAATCTTAAAAGAAAAAAGGAGTTAAGTGCAGCTTAAGTCTTTACACATTTCTAATCTGCAAATTGTATAAAATGAAACTTTTGTAGTAGATCAGAGGGGCACACCTTCTCTGGCCTCTGTGGAGAATCTGGGACCCCCTGGGACCCCAAGGACACACAGACAGAATGGCTGTGGCCTCGCAGCAGGGACCTCCTGGACCAAGGTGTGCTCAGGAGGGAAACTCAAAAACGCTGAAGTCTTACACAGGGTTGGTTTTCCATTAAAGTCAATTTCCCCAATTTCTTTTCTTTTCTTTCCTCTTTTCTTTTTTCTTTTTTCTTTTTTCTTTTCTTTCTTTTTTCTTTTCTTTCTCTTTCTTTCTTTCTTTCTCTCTCTCTCTCTCTCTCTCTTCTTTCTTTCTTTCTTTTTCTTTCTTTCTTTCTTTCTGATTTTATTTACTTATTCATGAGAGACAGAGAGAGAGGCAGAGACACAGGCAGAGGGAGAAGCAGACTCCACGCAGGGAGCCGAAGGACTCGATCCCAAGTCCCCGAGATCACAACCTGAGCCAAAGGCAGAAGTTCAACCACTGAGCCACCCAGGCGCCTCTCCCCATTTTCTGAGAAAAGAAAAAAATGAAAGACGGACAGGTTTTCTGGAAAAAGATGATTTTATCCCTGATGGCCCAAAACGCAAATCAGAAAGCATTTGGTTTCTTTTCATTGCTTGGGTATCAATGGCTGAGACCTTCCGCTGTTCAGAGCAGGCCTGGGCCACACTGGGACCCCCACACTAGCGGGTCCCATGGGGGTCTTGAGCACAGCCACAGTGGAGCCTGGTGGCGCAGCCATGCACACGGCTGTCCCTTACGTGTACTCCATGTCCTGACACCTCCGGGTGGCCTGCACCACCTCCTCCTCCTCCTGCCAGATGTGGGCCTCCAGCGAGCTCTCACCGTAGCTGCCATTCCTTGAGTGGTTGATGATCGTGGTGTCCCTGGGAACACAGGACACACAGACAATGATGTGGATGCTCCTGCTGAGGGATATCTTTCCACCAGCTCCTTTACTCACTCTCCCTCTCCTACATCCTGGCCAATTGTTACCTTAAACTTGACAGAATTAAGAAAGCATCTTGGGAAGACAAAATAAAATCCAAAGATGAAAATTCCCCGTTCCCACAACTAATGACCTTGTGTATTAAGCTACAAGGCCTGGTGTGGACACTGCACCCTAAGAGAGGGGGGCCATTGTCATTGTATTTGTGTTTCCATGCTTATACCCCTTTGTACTTATCCTTTTTCAGTCATAGTCAAAGTTTTATTTCCATTTCTCACCCACCTAGAAGCTATTTCAGTAGTTTACAGTAAAAAGGAGACTCAGCAAATACTTGGAAACACATGTTGGTCCTCTCGGATGGCGGTTCAGCTGAAATCTTCCCTCAGGCCTGCGTCCTAGCTCACTTCTGGCTTTACGAGCCCCGGTGTGACAGCCACACCGGGTGGCAAAGCAAAAAGACAAAGACATATACCTGTCATTGGAAAGTCCAACCAAGGAAGTGAAGCAAGGGGAGGGACAAAGTAGGTTAAGATGCAGGGTAGCTGGAAGCAGGTATCTGAGGAAAATAACTGGTCAAAGTTCACTATGCCTCCACTGGTTTTGGTGATTTAATTACTCCTAATTAAGGAGGATTGGTGAAAAGAAGATAACTGAGCCAATTAGGTGATCTAGGTATATCTCACTACAAGGCACACTAGTGTCTTGGGCTAGTGAATGCCAAATTGACAAATGATCCAGGCAAAGATTTTGCATCTCTTTAACTTCTTATTCCAATGCTGCAATCATATTTAAAATCTTAATAGCTTTTTTCCAAAATACACAAGAAGAGCAAAGAGAACTCCTTTCATCTAATGACAGCTATCAATGAATAGCATTTCCTTTATGCCAAGGATGGGCTAAAGCACACTACACACAGCCTCTCATGCAGTCCTCACAGTAACCTGGGTAGCTGGCATCATCATACTCATTTTACAGATGAACAAATAGGCTAGGCGACTTTGTAAAAATGCCTAGTTAGTGAAGGTAGAGACAGATGCAAATCCAGATATTTCTGTCCATGCCCTGAGCCATCATTCTATACTGACTCTTTTTTTTTTTTTTTTTAGATTTTTTTTTTTACTTGAGAGCGAGCAAGCTCGAGCACGAGCAGGGGGCAAAACAAAGGAGAAGGAGAAGCAGACTGCCTGCTGAGCAGGGAGCCCAACAACATCCTGGGACTCGATCCCAGAACCCCAGGACCATGACCTGAGCTGAAGGCAGACGCCCAACCAACTGAGCCACCCAGGCAGCCCACTTCCTGTGTCTTTATGAAGAAGGCTTCAGTGAAAGGAATGAAGATAAACCAACAAAGTGGGTGCACATGAGAGTGTGGCATTTGTGGGAAATGCAGCTGAAAATAAACCACAAGACCAACTAACACAGAAAACAAGCAAAAGCTGTTAACATATGGATAGCCAAAAAAGCACTTTGGAAGAAATGCTCTCGAGCATCACAGGTTGGTGGTGGCTTTTACTGTACTGTTGTTGTGCAGGCAAAATTTTGAGGTGAATTCTGTAGATTATGAATTCACCCTATAGCGCACAAAAATCAATGCAGAAATTAGTCCCTAGAGAAAACATTTTCAACCTATTTACTTTTGGAAAATTCACACAGAGCCAGACACCAATTAAAAAAACTCATGTTTGGGCAGTCAGGGTGGCTCAGTGGTTTAGCGCCACCTTCAGCCTGCAGGTGCGGTTCTGGAGACCCGGGATCAAGTCCCATGTCAGGCTCCCTGCATGGAATGGAGCCTGCTTCTCCCTCTGCCTGTGTCTGTGCACCCGCCCCCCCACAACCCCGTGTGTGTGTGTGTGTGTGTGTGTGTGTGTGTGTGTGTGTGTGTCTCATGAATAAATAAAATCTTAAAAAAAAAAAAACAAAACTCATGTTTATGCTGCTAAGTAAAGATAGCAGGAAGAATCAGATCAAAACAACTCAGAAGGTAAATGTACATAAGACAAAAAAAATGAACTACATTGCATTAAAAATCTGTAAAATTTTCAAAGCCATAAAAAAGGCCTAACCCCTCAAAATTCTGACCAATGGTGCCAAAATGCACCAAGATGGGAAAAGCACTTGGTAAACAAAAATCATTGCTTATAAAGGTGAAGTATGCATCACTGGCTGGAAAGTCACAAAACGAACAGTTAGTCGTTTTTACCAGTTCACAGGCAGCCACATAAGCATCCAGATAAGAGCTCAGAATTTTGACCTTTGTCAAAAATTCATTTTTCCTTTCTCCCTTTCTATCAAAAGAAAAGCAGTGCAAAATTATACAGCATTAAGATTGGAGCTAAACACCCGACCTCCTCTGAGCTGACTTTCCCCAAGACTGTGGGAAAGAGTGGCCAGGAAGGGGAAGGTAATTTCCTACAGAATAATCAGATGCCCAATAAATACACAGAAAGCAAAGAAGGGAGTGGGGGGCAGGTAGGGGAAGGGCCTTGATTTACCTGTGCATCTGAGACTTCTAACTGGGCAGAGTAAGCAGCAGGGCTGGGTAAATCCCATAGGACTCCCACTCTTTGTAGGCAACAGACCAGTGTCCCTTGCCTGGAGGATGACGAACAAGGCAGGTCCTAGCACAGGTGAGTGGCTGAAGGTGGCACCCCCACCCCCGGCCTGTCCCTGTTTCCCTCTCCCAGGAGCCATTCATTCCCGGACTTCTAATCTGACAACCCACTCCTATTTGTCCCCTCAGGGCCCAAGATCCCAAACATGCACCTGTCCTGATAAAAGCACTAGGAGCGGAGACAAAGATGACCCACAAAGGCCTCCGTGTCATGCTTCCAAGGTACCACATTTATACTATCAGGGCTTTACTGTCCTCAGCTGGTGGACTATGGTGTGGTTCTTTGCTCATAACCAGCCAAGAATGACAATTTCCATTTCAGAAATGAGGTCAATTTTTTTTAAGATTTTATTTATTTATTCACGAGAGACACAGAGAGAAGCAAAGACATAGACAGTGGGAGAAGCAGGCTCCCCATGGGGAGCCCGATGCAGGACTCAGTCCCAGGACCCTGGGATCACCTGAGCCGAAGGCAGACGCTCAACCACTGAGCCACCCAGGTGCCCCAGAGTTGAAGGAAGTCAATGACACTCAGAAAGGCCTATGCAGAATCACGCACCCATAGTCGGCAGCAGAGGAAGAAGCCCTGAACACCGATGCCCCACCTGACTGGGCACTATTCTTTCCATTAAAGACCCCATGGAGTGAGACAGCTCCCAGGGCAATCATGCTGTGCCTCAGACCAAATCTGGCAAAGAAGGCTGAATTTCTCTATAACTTTATGATGGTCTGGGCTCTTCCTCAAGATAGAGGTGACGTATTGCCTTAGACAACAAAAAGCTGAAAAGAAAAACCTCTCATCTATGCAGAAATCCAGGCTCTGGTGTTGTCACCCATAGGCAGGAGGGCCGAACCAGACACTGCAGCTTCCTCCAGCGTTCCTGCCTTGCCTCTGGGGCCCCGCCACACCTCATACCTCTAAATGTCTATTCCTGCTCCTGGGTGTCACTTGGAGGGGCTACTGGGGCTGTTTTCCCTCAGAGACATACATAAACAACATGAAAGCACTAGAATTTGACCCCTAAGGGTCATTTCCCACAAGAGCCTGCAAGGTCTGTCTCTCCAGGTATGAATGCACTGTGGTGCCCAGTGGAGGCACCTATGCCTGTAGGGCTGGCCCTGCTCCTTCTCCAAGTTCCTGGGGACTCTTCTCTACATGAGTAATGAATGAGAGAGCTCACAAGACCTTACAGAGTCTCCTCCACCCCAACAAGCCTTCTCTTACTCGTTAAAGAAAGAACACATCCCCCAAAACATGGGACTGATTACAAGATGGGGCTGCATCCTCGGTGTTTGCTCCTCACCTGGTTCAGGTCCGACGCTCCCCCACAGGCTCCAACAACAGCCCATATTAAGTCCAGTTTCCCGGATGAGCCTCTGAGATTTGAGGATCTCCTCTGCGGATAGTGACCTTAAACTTCAATAAATCCCAAACAGCTGTGAATGCAATGCCCGCGGCATCTATGAGCCGACAGCAAACTGGTGGGGGGTAGGGAGGCAACAGAAGCCCTGACTGGTGGGATGCACCACCACTCAAGTGGGGGGGGCACTCACAGGTGAGCCCCAGCAGTTGGGGGAAACCACCTCCTCATTCAGACAAGAGGATGACATAACAGAATTCCTGTGTCAATTACTGAGCATTCAAAGCTCATTTTCAAAGGAAGAATAAGGCTGTGTGCCCACAGAAAGGACATAAAGCAGCAGAGGTAATAGCTGACAAAAGCAACAATTTCCAACCAAAAGAAACCAGGCTTCGGGTCACACACAGCTCCACGGGACACGCGGCCCCAGCGCTCACTGCCAGCATGACTGGGAATATACCAGGGTACCTCTCTGAGCCACGTTTCTCCAGCTACTAACAGTTCCTGTTGCACCCTCTGGCAAGGCGGCCCCTGAACCAGGTGAGGAGGGGATGCAGCCCCATCATCTGGTCAGGCCCACGTTTAACGAGGACTTAATCTCATCTGGCCCATGACATGCGCTGGTAAAAGAGAGTGTAACATGTACTTGTGCAACATCGCTCTTGAAGACCACCTAGTATCCCACTGTGTGGAGGTCCTCACAACTGAGCGAATGCTCTGGAGGCACCGCAGGCAGGCCTCACCTCTCAGCGGCCGCAGTGGCTGCAGCGTTCAAGGCGAAGTGTCGGATAGTACTCTCCTCCAGGTACTTCTGCTCCCACTTGGTCATGTCGGCCTCCAGGGCCAGGATCCGCTCCTCCTTCTCCCTCACAAGTTCCAGGAGGGCCGGGGCATTATATTCTGACATGCCGGCTGGCTGGCTGTTTCCGTGTTTCTAGAGAAGCAAGAGAAATATGCAGCATGATGCAGGGAAGGGGCACATGGGGTTCACAGATCCCGCAGCACACTCCCACAATGTCCCCCTGCTCCTGTTTCCTCTCCTACAGGGAAGACACAAATCCTACAGATCCTATTGCTAAGTAGGGTCACCTTCCAAATGCCTCCACCTCACCTTCTAAATTCCTCCACCCCTAATTCTTGTGGAATTCCGTAAGACAACCTTATCCTAATGTTAGAGGGGAGAAAACGAAGCTTCTGGGAGGTGAAATGAATTGTTCAGTCTCTCTCAGCTACTCAGAAATAGGATCAGACTAGGGCCCGAATGGCCACACAGCCCTGCAGGACAAGCAGCTTGTTGCAAGTCCTGCCATTAATTTATACCAAAAGCTAAAACAGGAACCAAGTCTTAGCCTTTGGGACAAGAGCATTTTCTCCGGAGTTCAAGGAAGCGATTCCCACTGTTTGGTTGTCCCTGAGGCTGGAAGGTTAAAATGGAAAGGCAAAGAAAGGGGAGCGAGATGTCCCCAAGTGCATGTTCCCCTGAGTGTAAGGCTCTCATCGGGGACACAGAGGAATGAGTGTCTGTCCCACTGAGGGGCCTCAGAAGCAACCACATGAAGGCATTTCATCAACTTAAAGGGGCTAACCAAAGTAAAGTAACCACGGAAACCCGTGAATGCAAGTCAAGCTCATTTTTCAGCCCTTTCTTTTCATCTGTGTCTGGAAGATAGGAAATAAAGTGACTGTGGTTTCTGGACTGCTCGCAAGCTGGGGATACTGACATTTCAGAATTCTTCCCTTTCAACTCAGGTATACTATTTCCTCTAAACAGCAGGACTTGCAGGATAGTGGGGGAGTTTGAGGAGGTTCTACCTTCAGAAGAGCATGATTTCCTCATCGTTCCATGTCCTGGGATGCACACTGCCCTCATGTTTCCCGGTGATCACAAACGGTAGATGCAGAGCTGCTTGCAAGGTGGGGGGGAGGGGGGCCTGAACACTTTACCCGGACCCACATCCACTACCCAGAGCAACAGCCTGGCACATGAGCTGCACTCAAAGGATCTAATCCTACCAGAGAGACCACAGCAAATGGGCCCAGGGGCTTTCTGTAATCCGTATGCTTCTATTCAATTTTTTAAAGCTAGAATTACAAATATTCTCCAATCTGGCAGTTGTTTGCCAGTAACCAACATTTAAGCAAGAATGGGGCAGAAAGTATGTAACTGTCCTCATCAACCTGCACAGAAAGCCACCGGCCTCCTATGGCCAGGCACTGACCTCATGCAGGGGGACAAATGAACCAATCCATGGAGATGAGCTGCTCCCCTGCTGTTAGAAACATTCCAAGAAAAGATCCCACAGCCTGGCTAAGTCGCCATCTATGCTTGTCATTTTCTGTCTCGATCCCCTGTAATGGCATCTTAGCTGGCTTATTTCTGCAAAATCCTCTTGACCTCACCTCATGTCATGGTACCTCTTTACAGGACCTCTGATTCAGGTCATTAAGAGTTATTTAAATGAAAGCATGGGGGATCCCTGGGTGGCGCAGCGGTGGTTGGCGCCTGCCTTTGGCCCAGGGTGCGATCCTGGAGACCCAGGATCGAATCCCACGTCAGGCTCCCGGTGCATGGAGCCTGCTTCTCCCTCTGCCTGTGTCTCTGCCTCTCTCTCTCTCTCTCTCTGTGACTATCATAAATAAAAAAAAAAAAAAATTAAAAAAAAAACCACTTGTATTTAAAAAAATAAATAAATAAAAAATATATGAAAGCATGGATTTCAATGGTCAAGAACACAAAGACAACATGATTTAATGGATCCGTATGCAGGCCAGAAAAATGAGTTGAGGGTCAGGCAGGCCAGTGTCTGCTGCCCATTCAACTAGTTCACAAATATTTACTGAACACCTATCATGTGCTGGGGTTATGACAGTGAACAATACAGATAGGATCTTTGTCCTTCATGTTTTCACCTTCGGCTCATCTCTCAATTTCCCTGTGCCTCATTTCCTTCTTCAAGAACATTCCCCCTCCTCTCTTTTACCCCAAGGGACTCCTGTGGTAGTAAGATGTGAAAATTAGTTTGAGCTCTTGGCAAGAAAGAGAAGATGGTGAATTCCTAAACATGTTCATTTCCCTTCCTCTTATATTCATTTCTCCTTTACCTCCTCTCAGCTTCTAATGATGCTAAGTACTCTTTCCCTTCCCATGGTGGAGGGAGATTACATATAATAACAAAGATAATGCAGTTGAGTCTGGTTTCATAGCATTCAGAGTAGGAGATCCAAGGATAAGTAATCTAACTGAAGGGTGTGGGTGGCACATTAACTGGAAAAGAATATTCTCTTTTGCACTCTTTCTGTTGGCCAGAGACTCCTAAGTATCTATCAGATACCAGCACGGTACCACGCACCAGAGAAGCCCATCCTCAAGTTGGGGAGGGTAAGATCTCAGTACTGAGAAATACTTAAGGGTGGGCCTTAAGTACTAGGGCATAAGGCACAGGTTAGATGGAGTCTAGAGGCAGACTCACCCTTCCTACGAGCTGTCAACTAAGCCAAGATGGTGGGAGACTGGGTGGGTTCCTTAATTTTCTGGGCAATCTCACTAACACCTCCTTCCCTAGCCAAGCCCACACCCAGAGTGAAATGTGTGCGCCTGCCATGAGAAAGAGCTGAGCTGGCCTGAACAGATGCTTTCAAGTGTTTTCAAGTATTCCAACCACAACCACTATGCTCTATCCAGTAGATAATTCCATGGAACCCTGCCTTGCTTTTCCCTGGTTCCCAACTTAGAGCACACCCTTCACCAGCTGCACAGAGGGCTCTGCCCACGGCACTGGCTGATGACACACAAGCCCAGGCTCTCTCTGGAGTCAGGAGCCTTTGACCAGTGTATAATGGAGCCCAGCCCAGCCGCAGAGCTTCCCTGCTGAGGCACACACGGACCCAAGTTTATTAGCAGCTAAGTTATATTGACAGCTGTTACTGGCAGAAAGAAGGAAAGGCAGAAGAACTCGGAGCTTATGGCCAATATTACATCGGTATACTTATAACGGGGGGATAGTCCCAGGGATAGTCCTGAACTCCTTTCTCTCCTTTACCTTTGAAAACTCAGAGGTAAAGAATCATGTGGGACTCAGTTCACCCTCTTACCAGCTCCTGCATGGAATCCCACTTCATGACACCCTAGACAACACCACCAGCCTTCAGGCTGGCCTCCCTGATGTCCTCATCCACCCCTCCAGACCCTCCTGACCCCACCAGAGGGCTCTTCCTCTGATCCTCTGAGCCATGCTCCTGTCCGGCTTGAAAAGCTCCCAGGAATTGGCCCTCTGCTGACTACAGGAAGCAGTACAGTGTCTCCACCTGACCAAATGCCTCCCCTCTGGCCTCTGCCTCCTCAGCAGACACCACCTGTGCATTCTCTGCCAGCCAGCCGCACCCAGCCATCTGCAATGTGCCATGCTGCTTCGTACCTCTCTCCTACGCAAAACCCTCTTCTACCTCTGATGTTCTTCCCCCAGAATGTCAAACAAACTCATTTTTCCAAGTCCACCTCAAATGTCCTATAACCCCGTGCCCCTGTGTCCAGCCCCCCAGCAGTCAGCACTTTCTCTCTTTAAGGACTTTGTCACTGCAACGAGTGGACTACCTGACCCCTCCACTGCCAGTAATGCTGGTTCGTTGGGGACAGGGAGTTCCCATTCACCTCTGAGTCCTCAATGCACAGCGCACAGCCTGAGCCACGGCAGGTGCGGTGCTGCCAGATGGGTGCTGCATGACTGTGTGGGCCCAGCCTCACCTGCTGGGTCCTCAGAGCATCCAACTCTCTCTCCAGCCATGTCCGTAGTCTCCGCTCCATCTGCTCTCGCTTCTCACATGCAGACTGCAGCTGGCTCAGGGCCTGCTGGAGCTTCTCCACCTTCTCCACATAGGCTTGCTTCTCTCGTAACTAAGCAGAGGAAAGGGAAGAAAGAGCAGAGAACTCAGACCAGCAGTTCTCAAAGCCTGGGTGGAGGTGGGGGTGGTCAGATTACCTGGGGATTGCATTTGAACAAGTGCATGGACCTTCCCTACTGTCATCCCTCTGACGTGCTGGGATGCTTGGAATCAAAGACCTTACAAGGGCACCTGCCTCGTGTAGCCAGCTCTGAGCTCCATCCTTGGTGACTGCTTAATAATGACAGCATTTGGCAACATTGAAAATGAAGTTAGCAAAGGGTTTTTAGTGCCATAAGTAAAAGCTTATTCTATAATGTTTAACTAAAAAATCCAGAATCAAAAATTATATACATGCTCACAACTCTGCCTGCCTATGATCTATGTGTGAAAAAAGACTGGAAGGAAATACTTAAAAGGATCCTCCAAGTACAGCATAATAATTTCTCTTCTTCCTTACTCTTTTCAGAATTTTTCAAATCTTCTAAAATAACTGTAAATTACTACCACAGAGAAACTGGTGTATGTACACATTTGTGTGAATAAATATAAAATTTCCTACGATAGATCCTGTGGAGTAACTTTCTCCTCAAGACTTCAGAGCCCTTTACGGTGGAGTGGTTGACAGCCCTGGAGAGACAGGCAGGGTTCAATGAACACTCAAACACCACCAGAACTGAGGAGATGGAAATACAGGTAGAAAGGATGTATGTAAATGTCACATCAGGCACGGATTTAGAATCATGATTGACAATTTCAACTCCCGCTCTCAGACTTTGTTTTTTCTCAATTAGGAGTCCGGCTCACATCCATAAATCCCAGGCCTATTTCATGAGAGACACAGAGAGAGAGGCAGAGACACAGGCTCCATGCAAAGAGCCCGATGTGGGACTCGATCCCAGGTCTCCAGGATCACGCCCTGGGCTGCCCCCCAGGCCCATTTCTAACTTTCTGGGAATCGGCTCGTGCCAAAAACCAGGCTGGGGCATTGCCTTGATCTGGCCATGGGTGACAAGACACCAGATAGTAGTTCCTGCCCGCACCTGGGTGTGCTTATGCCTTCCAGGTGATTCAGATCCTGGGTTCAGTCCCTGATCATACCGGCAAGCTGGAACATGCTAATGACTTAAGAGCTTGCTGCAAAAGGTGGTTACTCACTTAGCAGGCAGTACTGTACAGAGCTATGCCTATATTCTGGCCAAAGCCACTGGAATAAAACGGAGGTGCCTCTGACCTTTCAATGGGGGGCAGCAACCTCACAGCCTTCTCTAAATCTGCTTTGGGCATCAATCTTCATCTGGCCCTTTCATTTGCTGTGCTTCTGATTACTTGATCTGGTTGGATAGACATTTGAGGACCTACCAACTGCAGGTTCCTGTGCTAGAAGCCGATCCAGCAGAGAAAATATTTTCTGAGTCCCATTCATACACTACCTACCCCATCCTACACCGTATACAGTTTCCTGGGTGTGTGGCCATTAGAACAGAAGGGCCATGAGATCTGTGCATTTTGGTTCCTGCTGGGCCAAAGTACACTGTATGTCCCCAGTGCCTGCAACAGTCTCTGGCATCCAGTAGGTGCTCAAGAAATATTTGTTAAATGGAGAACTATTATTCCCCCAATCAACTGCAAGATCTTTGAAGGCATGGATCTGTCTCATTTAATTTGTTTCAGCCTAGGGACACCAGCTTAGTGGTTGAGCGTCTGCCTTCAGCTCAGGGTGTGATCCTGGGGTCCTGGGATTGAGTTCCACATCGGGCTCCCTGCAGAGAGCCTGCTTCTCCTTTTACCTATGTCTCTACCTCTCTCTCTGTTCTCTCATGAATAAGTGAATAAAATCTTAAAAAAAAAAAAATCTGTCTCAGCCTTAAGTCTTAGCAAGGAGTCTATTAGGATGAGAATGATTAACAGGTAGTATCAACCAATGTTTGTGAAACTCTTCCATGCCAAGCATCATGTTTTATATTTAACTATTTCATTTAATCCTCCCAATATCAGGAAAGGGACAACTCTATTATCTCCATTTAGGAGAGAGGACTGAGAATGGAAGAGGTCACAAGACTTGCTTAAGGTCACACACTGACATACCCCAGGGTCAGGATCCTAATTCACCACAGTCCAAGCCCTAGCTCTTGTGGGAAGTCAGGGTAAGCACTCAGTATGAGCCCTCTGAACTGAATTAAGACCCTTCAAAAGAAATTTTAACAAGAACAGGGAGTCATAGTGAAAGGTACACAAAAAAAGAGATTTGGGAGAAGCTACACGCAAACATCTTCTAGAATGCCAAGAAGATCCATAGTAGTGATTACCAAAAGCCTGTCTTTAAGGAGCTCGCAATTAACTTGGACTTGATTAGAAGTATTAAAATTAATAAATTTTTAAAATTATTAACTTCCCTTGGCTCCAACCATGGAAATAGGGCCTGAATAAGTAATTTCAGTAATAACCATAATGAGGAGTCGTGGCCTCCAGTCCTCAAAGCAGACCTCGTGTCCTGTAAGGATTAAGGTGGCTTTCTGTACCAAACCTACATGCTAGTGAATGAGTTGCACATCGGTAACAGGGAAGATGCTCTGGGGCTGCTGTCTGGGGTCCTCATGCTAGTCTTAAAATTGCTGTTCCTACAGAGGACTTGTGGGTTTCAGAAGCTCCTGGTGGACAAGACCTTTGTGAACTTCATAACCCTCCCCTTTGGCTGCTTGAACCGTGATGCTGCGTTTGCGGAGACGCCAGAAGACCTGGCATCAGGAGAGGTCTTCTAAAGGAGTAGCTTTTCCTTTCGACAACAGTTGGATTGATGACAACACTGTTTGCTGTGTGCCAAGCCTCAAGGCCAGCACTTGGTGTGGCTTATCTCACTCACGCCCCTTCCAGACTTTGTGCTTCTACCTTCCAGGGTGGCTCTGTGCAGGTCAAGCTCCAGACCGGGGGCGGGGGGTAGGGAGCACTGCAGCCGGGGGCTGCCAGGTGTGGGCTCCTGTCTACCCGCCTCGGTGGCGGCTCCTCTTCTGCCACCGTGTCTGTAGACTGAATCCCCTAGCCTAAAGCTCAGAAACGGTCTTTGCACGTCCCCAGTCAGGCCTAACGGCAAAGCCTACCTCATGAGACTTCATCCAAAGGGCTGATTTAATCAGGAATCACTAAATCCATAATGCTGGAGACGGATCAAATTTTCCTGGACTAGGGGAGTCACTGCCCAGCTGAGCCAACTTTTGGAAATGGGAGATCGGTTTGCTGCATGCCACCCTGATTCCACCCTATCAGAAGGCTTTTGCCCTCTTTTAATGCAATCAAGAGCCCAAAGAGCAGATAAACCATTTTTTTAAAATTGTTAGTCTCTTTTCTCTATAGGCACCAGTGGTTTCCAGTCCTTCCATTTGTTTCCAGCCCCGGCCACTTGCCAACCAATGGGCTGCAGACCGGGTTTCAGGCAGAAAGCGAGCTCTTTCATGGCTGTCTTTCCTACTTTGCCTGGCTCTGGGTTGGATAAACTCTGTGGTATTAATTTTATTTTGGGAGGCCTCCTACATCCCTCCCCCGACTCAAAGCCTTGGAGCGGGCTCCAGTGCGGGGTGCTGGGTAGGAAAAGGAAGTGGAGGCCCTTGAGGCTCTGCCCCCACCCGTCTCACCTCCTCCTCTAGCTTGATGACTCTGGCCTGGGCGTTGCTCAGAGCCTGATCCAAGATCTCAATGTGTCTCCGGTGGTCCTCACTCGCGGTCCGCACTGCCGCTAACTCCATTTCCAACTTCTCCTTCTCCTTCAAGAATTCTTTGTCTAGAAGGGAGACAAGAACAAAACTACCTCTATCAGAAAGCACTTACCCTCTGGGCTCCCAGCCAGTCTACATCTGGCAGGGATTAGTAATAACAGAGCATGCAGAATAGTGGAGGGTTGAATTACTGCTTTTGCTCCCTCTTGATAGTGGTGATGTGTGAGTTAAGGATTTACTCAAAAACCACTGTTAACTCTAGATACATTCCAGGCCACAGTTCCAGAGATGAAGGGTACATAAGGAATGATGGATATTCTCCATAACTCACTTCTGTACAACAGTTTCTTTCATGCTTCACATTAACCTTCTACCTACGATTTCACTTTATGCTCACAACCTCCCTTGCTTCTGTCTTCCGAGCCCCTGATGAAAGGGCAGGCAGGACTAACTAATACTAATATTCTCATTCATAGAAAAATAAACCAAGGTGTAGAGGGTTCAGCTCTTTGCTGAGGGCAGACAGCAGAACTAGCTCCAATCCAGTCCTCCAAACCTGGGCTGGATTCTCGTCCCCTATGACCTGGCCCCCCACATTTTCTCCTAGTTCTGTTCAGGAAGGGTAAGGAATATTGCCTAAAGGAATTTAGGAGTATTGCTCTGGATTTAGGAAATGGCTCTCCTCTCATTCGATGACAGTGTAATTGATGGTGATCACAGGCCCTTTGCACATGGAAGAGCCTAAGCTGCCCTACATTCAGTAGCATCCAAACCACTTTCCTGTAGACTAACTCCCATCTTAGTTTAAGATGGGATGGCTAATGGTGTCACTGGATCAGTATTATTTATCGAAGACATTTTTCCTGTTAACAAAAGCAATACAGGGGCACCTGGGTGGCTCTATTGGTTAAGTGTCTGCCTTCAGCTCAGGGTCCTGGAATTGAGCCCCACGTCAGGCTCCCTGCTCAGCAAGGAGTTTGCTTCTCGCTCTCACTCTGCCCTTCCCCTCAGCTCCTGTGTTTTCTCTCTCAAATAAATAAGCAAAAAAAAAAAAAAAAAAAGCAATACATTTTATTTTAAAAATAAATTAGAGGGGTACTAGGATAGCTCAGTTGGGCCCCTAACTTTTTTTTTATTTTATTATTTATTTATTTATCTGAAAGAGAGAGAGAGAGTCCTAGAGCAGGAGCAGGGGGTAGGCAGTAGAAGGAGAGGAAGAAGCAGACTCCCTGCTGAGCGGGGAGGGGGAGCTAGACACAGGACTCAATCCCAGGACCCCGAGATCATGACCTGAGCTGAAGGCAGATGCTTAACCTACTGAGCCACCCAGGCCCCTCGAGCCTCTAACTCTTGATTTTGGCTCAGGTCATGCATGATCTCAGGGTCTTGGGATAGGGTCCTGCATTAGGCTCTGCACACAGCAAGGAGTCTCCTTTCCCTCCCCCTGCCTCTAAACTGCTCACTCTCTCCCAATAAATAAATAAATAAATAAATAAATAAATAAATAAATAAGAATATTTAGTCATGTTGTTCATAACACGGAAAAACCTGAATGACTCAATGTATAAGATTAAGGGATTGGTTAAATAAACAACTGTAAACTCTACAAGAGACTAGGTTGCATCCATTATTATTAAGTAATATTTGTGAAATGGAAAAAAACTTCATTATTGAAAAAAAAGTGGTTACATAAACCAGGTGCATACTATTCCACAGTTGTCGAAAACAAGGCATATGATTACAACACCACCAATAAGAGTTAGAGGTTGGTTTCTATAGGCCCACACCACTCAAAGGCTTCAGACAGGTTGCTTGGATCCTTTGGCAACCCACATTAAAACACAGAGAACCACAGTCTGGAAGCTCCACTGCATGTGCCAGTGGTTTCATTCATTCATATTTCCTGGTGGAGTCACCCATTAATTTAACAAAAAGTCATCAAACATTAAGGACCAGCCCTGTGGGTACTGAAGCAATGGAAAGAATGCTGTACTTAAGGAGCAGGAAATGTGCCTTTGAATACAGGGCTGGAAAATTAAAAAAAGACACTTTAAGCCTGCAAATATCTAACAAAGTCACAATTTTTGAGCCGGAAGGGATCATAGGAAATATCCCCCTCCACTTCCAGTCCTGCTGCTTTGATGAGTGAGGAAAGGAAAGCCCAGGAGCAAAGGCACTTGTCCAGGTCCCCTTGCCAGCTGGCGCAGAGCCACGGCCAGAATCCAGGTCCCCGATGTCCCAGTACAACGCCCTTCCCCGTTGATGGTACTGCCCTTGCATTGTGAGGTCACGCCAACGGGATCCGAATGCAAACGGAAAAGTGTCACATTGGCAGACTTGAGTAGCCCTGTACAGCTCAGCAGTAGATGTACTGCCTAGAAACAATGGCCTGCCCTGGGAAGAAAAGGAGGCCACCAAGATCCTGACCCTGAACACGAAATTTCTCCTGGCCTATCTGTGTGCCTCACTGCAATAACCAACTGCCCTCCCTTGTTCTCCTTTTCAATAGTATTTGAAATGTTGCCTCTGAAACTTCTTTCCTAATCCGTGGAGAATGGCCATGTGAAAGGCCTTAACAAGTGGGTCAGTAGCAGCTCGCTGCCTCTGCACCCCACCATCCATAGCCCTAGTGACCCAGAGCATTTCACTGCACAAAGTCAATGGCATCCGAACACTAGCTGCATGGGTTTGGACAGCATCTCAATAGGCATGGTGCCCAGTGGCCTTGTCCGGACTCTGGAGGGCACCCAGGAGTTACTCAGCATGCTGGGGAATGAACCACTGGATTTCAGAGCTTCTGCGTGCTTATCAACCTAAGTGTAAAAGTTACTCTCTTTGCTAAGGGCAGCCAAGGGCACATTAATTTTGACCAGAAGACAGTAAAATGATAGACCAAGCTCAAGACTAGAGGCCACAATCAGAGCTTCTTGAGTTTTGCAAATCGATGGTCACAATTATTGCTGTGTCACGATGACAGCTATTTAGATTTTTGAATTAAATATCCCTCCCCCCAACATGCACACTCGCAAGCATGCACCCCCACACCCTGGATTCCAATATTTGTTATTTCCTTAATATCATACTGTGGCTAAAGCACGCACCCCAACATCAGAAAAAACTGGATTCAAATCCCAAGCTTACCACTTTCCAGCTATAGATCTTAGGTATGGTTAACCTCTCTGAGACTCAGCAACCTCATCTAATCAAATCTCATCTAATCTCTCTACCACATAAGATAACATCTACATCACAGTGCTGTTTGAGGACTCTGTTGTTGGAAATGAGACATATAAAGCATAAGGACCTCAATATCCTAGATCTCTGTTTTGGTCATTATTGATTTCCTGAGCCTAGAACAGCACCTGGCTCAAAACTGCTGAATGAATGGATGACTCTCTACTGTGCATTGCCAGCTGTATAAAGATGGTAGTTCTTGTTAGCTACTAGGTATTTCCTGACAGCCTTTGTCATACAGCTGTCATACTCTACAACTGAAGCCACCACTCATCAGATGGCTGATGGACTGACCATGGACACCCCCAGCTCAATATTCTGCTCAGACTCCCCAAACCTCACAGGGTACACCATGAGACAAAGACATGGGTATTGAACGAAGACTCCATGAACTCTGGGCTGCTGTCCAGCCCTCTGAAATTCAGGGGTGGAAATATCTCTGTTATGAGTTTGGTGACCATGGACCTCAGGCTGTAGCAATATCACTTGGTATCACTCACACTAGCTCAGAACTTCCTGTTCTGAACTTCCTGTTCCTGTTCCCTTCCTCCACGGATAGGGAGTAGAGCTCGCCATGGCAAAGTTTTAAAAACAACGTTTGTTACAGTAGTTAGAGTAACAAAACCTGCTTATGTTTGTTGAACGAGTACTGCATTCCAAGAATGGTGACTTTATTCCTTTTAACTATTCCATTTCTTCTCAGTTTACTGGGGGAGGCTGGCACTGCTATTATTGCCACTTTCCTGCTGAGGAAAGTGACCCTTGGGTTAAGTCACCTGTGCACAGAAGTGGGAGTGCTCAATCAATGGCAGAGTCAAACGTGCCTCTGTGTCTCTCTAGCTCACATTCAAGAGCACGGGGCTGTATGCCTCCCCCGCACAAGCAGGCAGAGGGCAGAATTGCAAAATAAGAGAAGCAGAAAGTGCTCGAGAGCTCATTGATGCTCGTTACTGCAGGGATTTAAGTATGTCACTGGCCATATCATGTTTCTCCAAACCCAGCAATCACATGAGTATCCATTTACAACTATGAATTCATTAGGCCTCTAGTACATGGAGGCATCAGAGAGTGTTGAGAAAAGCATGGTTCTAGAAGCAAACTGCGTGCTTCACATTTAGCTCCACCATGGACAGTTCTGTGACTCTGAAGCAAATGAACGTCTTCCTGGAACCTTCGGCTTCCTTGCCTTTACAGGGAGGATCACAACAGTATCTACTTGACAGATGCAAATTAAGGACCCAGGTAACGTCGACTATGATAATCCTGTGGTTATCGTTGGTGTTTCTAAAAGTCTGATCAATTCTGGAGCTGCAAGATGATGAGTCGGTCGTGGTGTTCTGCTCTTAATCAAGCAGGAAGAGAACAAGGACACAGGCGAAGGCAATGGGACAAGCTTCTCTAACACACTCACACAGGTGCCATGAGAGCTCAGAGAGGACATCTAATTCAAGCTACCATGTGAGGGAGGAGAGGCCGTCAAGGCAGTGAGCCTGTGGATGGGGGGTGGGGGGGCCTGTGACCCTGGGTACACAGGTTGGAGGTATGTCAGAGCCATTCTAGATTAAAGGCCATCTCTTAGGAGATGCCAAGGGAAGAGTCCCATGGGCAAAACCACTGCGTAAGAAGGTCCCTTCAGCTTATTATTAGCTAAGCCCCTTGGGATATCTCAAGAAAGACCAGCCTCACACTGAATTTTTGGTTGGGCTCCAATGTATATACTGAGAATTCCTAGAACAGGCAAGTTGACACAAGAGAACTCTTGCCCAGATGGTCTGTTTACTCAGTGGATATGAACTACCCTGAAATGCGTGGAGCAGGGGGTTGTTTAGCC